TTTTTTTTTTTTATGTGTGTATTTATATATTTTAAGTCTATTATAGTTTAAGAACAATGTCATCATGAACAATAACAAGATTGAAGATCCTTTTATATATAACAAAATGTAGACAACTTATGTGTTTTCCGAACATTATTACATATGCACTATAATATGGGATAATCATATCAAGCCGACTAGACCGAATAGTAGGTCGAACGAGGAACGAAAACTCCACAGGTCGATGAATCCTCAGGTCGAGGAAGATAGCCATGACACGAAGGGTGCCAGTTGGTCGAAGGAGGGCCCTCGGAGGGCCCGTGAAAATTCGACCTGAAGGAGAACCTGGTCGAAGGATCGACCAGGCAGGATAGCAGGGCTCGACATCAGTGACAATCCACCTCGAGGTAATTGGGGTCAGACGCACAGTTTGACCGCCTAATGAATAAGAAGGAATATTTTGAGGATTAAACCCCCACGTGGATATGACCACGTGACCTAACAAAATTGAGAAGTTGTGGCAGTCTGGGCAGCTAAGGTAGTACGAATGAGCAGCCTAGGCGGCCTACACGTCAAAAGGAGATTGGGCAACAAAGGTATTATCTTCCTATATAAGGGAATGAGGTATTTCTTGAATTACATTACAGTCTTTACTCCATTCTTTACATACTACTAGTGTTGATACCCGTGCTATGCACGTGGTGCAATAGAAAGAAATATTATTTATTTAAATACTATAAAATTATTTAAAACAATATGAAATTATATTCTCCACAATATCCTATTAAGTAATAATATGACTTTTATTTATTTACTATTGTTGTTAACTTTTTTTATATATTCTTTTTTTGTAGTTTTTTGACAATTTAATATATAAATTTTATTATTTATTAGTTTTCAAAATATTATAAATGTATAAGATCATATAATATTTGCATACAAATTACTTGTATGTACTGATAAAATTACCGTTTATCAAGTCTTATAATTTTTTCAATAATTCATAACTTGTGCATTGATTGATGACTGACCAACGTTTAACCCATAATATTTATCTTCCGCTATAATTATTAAATGCATTAAATATTCAAAAATTTGATAAATAAAATTTTAATTTTTAGTAACTTTAATCCTTATGCAACACATAATTTTTTATGGCTAAATATTTTATTTTTATATTTATATTTATTTTTTTAATTCATTTTTTCAACCTATATAAAGAGTTATATAGTCTATTCGAATATTTAGATATATTATATATTTCCATAATTACCAATTGCTATACTTTATATTATTATACATTGTTTTTTTTATTAACTTATTTTTTATTTATAGAATAGTATATAAGTAAAAAATATATATTTAAAAATTGAATAGTTTTTTTATTGTACATAGATACTTCTAAGGTGAAATTTATAATTATGAACTGCATCCGACCATCAAATTATATAATATATTTAATCAAATCAATTTCCATAATATTTTTTTTTTTGAATTGTATCAATAAACTACTATTACATTAATATACGATCTTATTGAAAATATATCTAATAAATCTACAGTCAAAATTTCAGTTTAAGCCAATTTGTAGTTAATGAGTAACAATCATTGAGTGTATAAAATTTAATTATGTTTTTAATACATAAGATTTGCTAATAAATAAATATTAATCAAACGCCAAATATAGCCGAAAAATTTTCCGTCCAAAATCATGACAATTATAGCAATAAGGATTCATCCATTATAATAGATATAGATTATACTATACTTCATCTTCTTCAAATGCTAATTTAAGCTTTGAAAACTCTTCACCGGAAACCCCTTCTGGTGTGAGAGTTTTGCAGGTCCGAATGCAACCGGCAGTCGAGCTCGAGATCTAGCCATTTCTAGTTGTTTCCAGTCGGTCAGAGGTTTTTACCATACCACACTACTCTTTTCTATATGGACATTCAAGACTTTCCTTACCAATAAAAGAGTTAAATGAGTTATAAATTGGTGATTCTACTATCAGTTTATGTAATATTTTTATCTTTATATTGTGACGCCCATGAATCCAAAACTATGACGCTTAACTTTTGAGCTTATATAAAATTGGTTGGCGAAAGGAATGATGCGCTTTGTTCGTACTGTTTCTATCAACATAGTTTCGTAAACTTTTTTTTGATAGTGACGCATAATAATTTCCGTATTGTTGTAGCAAATTATGTTATTTAACGAGTACCGAATCAAATGATTTGTTCCCTGGGTTGATAAATCGAGGAAGGTTGGCCGGATTACTGTGCTCGTGTATTCAATCACAAAAAGGAAAACAAATCATAAACATGTAATTCAGAGATTGGTTTGATTTTTAAACTATTAGGTAAGAGAACTCAAACAAAGCAAAATAAAATTTCAAAGCAAAGACTATGATCAAGCAATGATAAGAAGCTAGGGAGTCGGGAAATATTTGTTTTGGTTCGAATTGCAGTTAACGGGCAAGTGATTGTTCGGTTAAATGATTCGGAGATTCATCCTCAATAACTTTTCGTAACAAGAGAACAAACGTGAACGGAAAATTAACAATTTGTTTAACACCTAGGCAATACAGTTACGAACAAGCCTAGTTTATACGGGCCTAGATCAATCGGCTCCTCCCCTTTCGATTCTAAGAGTCGATTAAATTATCCTAGAAGATGGTTAATCAACTAGTCCATTTAGAATTAACAATATCACGCGAGA